TTGTTCAATCATAAAGATTTGTACAAGACAGATAGGTTATTGCGTTTTTTGGAACTGAATTAATATAAGATTAATTAAAATATATTGATTTGTTATGATAACTTGTTATCATTGATATACTATCGTTAAATTAGGATTTATATATAAATTTTGTATGATAACAAAAAAATATAATAGAAGTACTGAATGTTAAAATAGCGTTACGTTTTAGTACATAAAAAATGGTATTTATTAATGATACTGATGATGATGATGATGATGATGATAAAAAGTAATATAAAAATTTTATTTTTATAATATTTTATGAAGAAAATGATAATTATAACGTTATAATATTAATGAATACAAATATTTATGAATATTTAAAAAGAATGTGTTAACTATTTATATAATTTATTAGGAAAGATGAAATGGTTGATTTATGAAGATTTAAAAAGAATGTGTTAACTATTTATATAATTTATTAGGAAAGATGAAATAGTTGATTTATGAAGATTTAAAAAATGTGTTAATTCCTTAGTTACTTAATAATAACTAATTTATAATAACGTACTGTTCCAAAAAAAAAACATTTATCATTGAAAGAAGATAGATATGTACATAAAAACATAGTATTCTTTAGTACTAATTATATAAAACGATAAAAGAACTTCCATTTTAATTGATGATTCACGTGAACATCATTGGTATGGTTGGAAACGTTTCGCAAAACATAAAAAAAGAAACATCTATGAGAAATAAGTATTAGAAATTTAGTAAAAAGGAAAAAAAATAAATTTCGATATTTTCTTTCATAGAATTGTAAAAAAGATAATCAATGTTAGAGACGATTTCTAAAAATTTCGAAATTATGCTTGTCTTTGATAGAATTTATTACCATTGATTTTAAAATTGATAAAACTTTATATACACAAAAAACATCACATTTATTTCATTATTATTAATAAATCAAATGTTTAAATATTATTTTCTTATCCATTTTTTTTTTATTATCAATGATATAATTTTAAATAACTTAATGTTGATAACAAACGTTACGTTATGATATATATATATATATATATAAAAATGTGGTATTTAATAATAATAAATTATAATGAATAACAAAATTAAATTTCATTTTTAATCTATCGTCCGTGTAATTTAATTCAAACATCATATTATAAATTAATACAATTATTTATAAAGATTAGAAGAATTGATTAATTTCAAATATACTTTAATATAAACAATTCTTTTCGGTCAAACTTTAATTGAAAAGAAAAACAAAAAAGAAGGGACCTAAAATTTGTCAACCCCAACGACGTATTTTATCTTGACAAATATAACTGATTATTATTTATCAATAATACACTCCTTGAAAACAAAATCATTAATCAAAAATAATTAAATAAATAACAAAAGATGATTAACCTTATTAACATTGATAGAAACGTTTCTTCATAGAATAATCTAAAAAAATGTCAAGATAAAATCTTGAAAATCTTCCAACATTAGGTCGATACTAATTAAAACGGTAATTCTTTCTTATTAGCAATGTGTACATATTTTTGAAAAAATAAATTTAAAAAAGGATGATACGTACATACTATAAGACACACAAAGATGTTATTCGTAAAAATGAATATGATAAAAATAGATGTAATTGAATTGATATTTACTTTTTAATAATTCATTACGATATATACATGCATATACACATATATACATTTATATCTATATATTATACAAAAGAAATTGATTTCAAGGACAAGTAACCAATTGATCTTCCGTATTAAATGTCTGCACATCCAAGAGAAAGAGAGAGAGAGAGAGAGAGAGAGAGAGAAAGAGAATGAGAAAGATATAGTTAATGAAATGTTTACATACAATTATGATATAGGTAAATTAATCGTTTAAATCAATGTCCCGTGACTAGTCTTATGACTACTCTCTTGCGCAAACATATTTTGCTTTATAACACGTGTGATAACCGTTTCAAGGTAACAACCTGGTTTTTTTTAAAACCAGTTCCAGCTATAAGCTACGTACAAATATAGTAGACCTGGGAAATTTTTGAGAATAAAGAGTATGTTTGTATCAATTGTTTCTTTTTTTCACCGTTGTTTTGACATCAGGGGTTCTTCCCCGTGAGATCATTTTCCATATATATATATATATATATTTAAAACTTGTTATAAACATTTAAATAACAACAAAAATAAAAAAGATATTGAATATGCAGGAAAATGTGTTAAGGTGTATTTGTGTATTTAAGTTGTTATTCATTTGCATATTCATTTATTTCTGATCACATGTTCAATCTGTAATCATAAGAAAAAGAAAGTTGGAAAAATAATATTTTTTTTTCATACAAGTCTTTGGTGAAAGTGGGGGTTAACTTACAAGAGGAAAAATCACGAGTCAGTTATATAGCTTGTTTTATAAAAAAAAAATGTCAGTCTAACAGAGTTAGATTAAAAGCTAACCGGGATATGCAATTTGTTATCGGATACGATGCTTCCTCGATGATCTTACTTTCCAAGATAAATATTTTGTTATCTTTCATTAATCTCGTATATACATAAATATATGTATATGTTGCGGTATATTTATACGATGCGTGGATATAAACTGAGATTAATTTTTGAAACTGAAACACTTTTATATTTCCAAGAATTTGATTCATTATAAATGCAAGATAAATTTGAAAAAGAAATAATGTAATTCGAAAGAACATAATTTATGAATATAAATTTAAATATTATTGTACCAAAGAAAGATTATTTTTATTGAATTAATATGAAAATAAGATGAAAATAAAAATAAAAATATAACAATTTTATTACATCAATGAAATGTTAATTTATTAATTGACTTATTTATTAATTTATTTATTAATTAATTTAGAGTTTATATAAAAGTAAAAATATAAATAAAGGTAAATTTTATTGAATGTATGTATATATGTAAAAAAAAAAGAAAATAAATAAATAAAATGATAACAAAAAAAAAAATATATGTATATATAACAAAAGGTTAAAAAATGTGCTTTTATGCGTAATCTTATCGTGTATATCATCGGGGCCTGCCCTAACGTACGCGTCTTAATAATCGGCTATTGACTGTAATTAGTAATCCTTTATTTCTGTTTCAACTTAGTATTGAGTATACGTTCACATACGTTTAATTGGTTGGAGGTGTAAGTGTTAAAGCGCGTGACTAGTCTCATGACCAGTCTGGACTCTCACTGGATTACGAAGGTTTTTATTTTGTATCATTGATACTTTCACACGCACAGCTACACATACGCGCTCAAAGAAAAATTGTATGTTCTTATCCATGAATCAAAATCGATCGATCGATCAATACAAAGATGTTCAGTAATCTCATAAACAAAATTCATACTTTTCATAAATCATTTTCAGACAAAATATTAACACATCAGATTAACAATATTATTTCTACTTGTCATCCTCATTTTCTTCCTTCTTTCAACGATCTTCCATCATTTTTATTCGTTTAATTGTTTAAACTGATTCATATCTTTTTTTATATTAAGAAAAAAATTAATTGTTAGCTTTTTTTACTTTCATTTTTACGGTAATGATTTATCGTCATTAAATGTGTTTTTTTTTTATTCACTTTGCTATTCGTATATACATATAAAGGATAATTCTGGGAATCCTGGGACAGGTTATTGCTCACTTTTTAAGTAAAAATAAAGACAAATGGTAGAGGAAAAAGTTATGTAACATTTACATCCTAACTTCCTATATTTTTTGTGTAGATACATCAATAAAGCCGCTAGGAACAATTGCACTTTATTTTTTAATACAAATCAATTTGTTTTTAATCAATTAATCTAATATCATCGAAATGTAAATATTTTGTGAAATATTTTATTTAACATTTTAACGCGTTAAAAAATGCATTAGTAGAAAGTATGATAACGTAAAACAATGTAGATAGATCATGAAAATTACGTACAACTAATGTATTGTTAGTTTATCATAGCTTATTAATCATTTTTACTTAATGTTATCTTTCATTTTCTCTTATTGACGATATTAAGAACGAATTTTTAATCTTTTATTGAATTATACTTAATTGCTATCTATTCCGCGTGATAACAATTAATGCAATCGTGTAATTAAATACAGTGTAATCTTAAGCATTATAATTGCGTAGTATAACAAACAACAAAACAAATTATAGCAAAAGGAGATTGAGGATGAATATTTTTCCTTTTTTTCTTTCTTTTTTTATCATATTCATTTCTTTCTACTTACATTGATATTATTATGGAATTAGAATTTGTTAAAATCTATTAAATTAGTCAATTTCTTCTTTGTTTATTTTTTAAAATTTATTTTTTTTATTTTTTTTAATAATTTATATATTAGTTAGGACACAAGTAACTATTTTTTAAATTATACTTTCTTAATCACTTATATATGTGTGATACTAGTTTCATACTGCTATACATAACTTAATTATATATTAATTTTAATCAAATACAGACAACCCTCCAATAACACGATTAATTTGTATCACGTTAAATAGAAATCTTGTTAAAATTATTATAAATTAGTATAAATCGAAGTTAGTAAAAAGCAGATTAATTTGTATCCTGTTATAAAAGCATTTACCGTAATGTACTCTATATATTATTTATATGACGCAAATAATTATACTATAAATTAATCAAGTTAAACCAGTTTACCTCATTTCATTGTATCACGTTTTATTAATTTTTATTTGTTAATTTGTTTGTTTTATTATTATCTTTAAGATTGTGCGTCAGGATTGTATCAGATATAAATAGGATTAAAGATTTAATTTTCTTTTTTTACTTTTATCAATTTACAATCTTGCTATCGTTCTTAATTCATTTTTAATATCTAACATTGCACTGTCATTATTACATTTTATTGGTTTTTTTTTTTTTTTTATAATTAGCCTTAAGATATGTATACCTTTATTAATACTTTTTAATTTGTTCAAGTAGACATATATATTTATTTTTTCTCGGGCATGGTCAATCCATCGGGACTAACTGCCAGATAACACAAAATCCCTTTATTTTCGATCTTTCTAAACGAAATATAAGCACAACCGTCTGGGGTTTGTCTTGATACTATTGGTTCCAATGGGCCAGCATTTGGTAAATCCTTACATTTATTACATAAAAAGTTACACATTGCTTCAGCCAATGAAGGTATATCGTTATCGGGTGGTGGATTAAGAAAAATCCCATGCAAACGACCACCTCGTGTCATTATTTTTAATAATTGAATGTAATCGTTTCGATTTTTCATCTCGTCGTTGCTGTTGTCTGGAATTCCGGCTAGTCGACGACTCCATTCAACGATCCTTATGCGATCTGTTCTTTTTATCATTTATTTATTTTTATCTTTTATTTTTGCAAGATCATACTAAATCATACAAGTTAAAGTTAATGACAAAAATCAGTTGCTTATTATTTTTTTTGGGGGTTAATTCGATTAACTCCGATAAAAAGAAAAAGTAGGGAAAATTGATCGAAGTTGCTTTATCTGTTTGCAATTTATCGAATTGGTCAATAAGTGTGTCATTTGGTTTTTTATTTTTAAAGTGATATAAATTCATTTATTATTATTTTGAGATATTTAAGAATTGACGTATGTGTGAATTGATTTAAAAATATTGATAAATAATATGTTAATGAATTTGGGTTGAATGTTTTAAGATATAAACATATTATATTACATTATCCGATAACAATTAATACAATAATTAATACAATTAACAATTAAAACAAAGATTATTTTAAAACTGCAAATAAATTTATGCTACTTCCAAAGAAAAAAACATTTATACAATAATATTTTATAGTAAAGTTTTTTTTTAAAATGAATTCATAAGAATATTGTATTGTATTGGTCTTTGTTATTAACAATATGAATAAAATTATTCATGTTTAATACATTATTCTCTGCTACGTGTAACGTTTTCGATACACGATGAAACTGAACTTTCTTAATACTTTCGCGACGAGAAACACAGTTCTACAGTATTTTAAGATTTTCTTCAATGAAATACAAGAAATGTAATGTAATACTATTTTGAAATTGGCGTTTTTAAATTTATTCATAGTGTATATATAAAAAATACGTAATATAGAAACAAAAACGAGTTTTTTAAATTATATGCTAAATCTTGTAACATTGACCGTAATCTTGGATATAAAATAAAAATAATATAAGCAGTGATGATTCAAATCTTGGCAATATAGTAAGTCGTAGATTTAAAAACGATCTACCGCAGAGATAGTAATTTAAAAAAATAAAAATTTTAGGAATTTCAGAAGTTGAAATAAATTATATGTATCTATCTGTAAAGTCATCACACATTAATTTTATTAAACAAAATATTTTTTCTATACGCATTTGTAATATTTCATTTTTTTAAAGCTTTGAACAACAAATTACTACATATACATAAACATTATATTGGGATTTTTTTTAATATTCATGTAAAAAATTTGTATTTCCTTTGTAATTCATACAAATAGAAGAATCTTGCCGTACTCATGTCAGTTAGAGATTTGTATAGATTATATACTGTATTTAGCTGAACATTTTATTCGGCTATAGCCCATCGCGAAAATATTAATTATTTAATAATTATTATCAAATTTGTTGAGGTTACCGTAAGGTGAATTGAAGTACGCCACTCTTTGTGCAATTTCTCGTAATGCTTCTTTAAATTCTGTATTATATACTTTTATCATGTTTTAATTGATAATAATTAAAAATTATATATATATATATATTAACAAATATTTTAATATCTATTAGAAAAGTGATAATATAAAAATAATGAAATAAATAAAATTTATAGAGAAAATAAAAATTGACGATCATTGTTCAATTTTTGCAATAAAAGAAAAAAGATAAAATTCGTTATTATCGGTATAATTATTGGATGGGTTTCCTGTGATTTTTCTTGTTATCAAGAACTTCTAGTTTTTTAAATTTATCCGATTGAGGACACTCGGTAAATTAATTTAACTATTTATAATTATAATATCTGGACGTTTATCTCATGACAGAAATGTCTAAAAAACTAAAATGTAAAAATGAAAATAAAAAAGAAATATAAATGCAGTTGTGTTCATGTTCTATACGGAAAGTAAACAAATCAAAATTAGATTCCATGTTCGCTCAAACCATCAGTTACAGAAATAAATAAATAAATGAGTAAATATTAAACATTGTTTTTATAATAATTTATTTATAAAACAATGCATTTTGGCAGTATTCAATATGTGATAAAGAATACTTATTTATATTATGTAACATGTAAATAATTAAAAGTCACTCTAAAAGTAACTTCGCTTTACTTCCATTTATATCTTTGTTAATATTGTTTCGTGATGCAAATTCATGTTTGACACTTGCAAAAAGAATGTCTGTTAAGAGGAATATTTGTGCAACAGCGAATGCCAAGGTAACTCCGAAGTAAAAGTTAGCATTAGCGGATCTGGCATAAATCCATTGATGCCATACTATTGGTGCAAAACCAGTACAAACCAATATAAAGCAACCGATTATGAATCCTTGCTGCATATCTGTAATGAAAGACCATAGGATTAATTGAGTAAATAAGTATTTAAAAAGAATGGTGGAAGTTTAATAGCTTACGTTGAAACAGATGCATCCAAAACGGCAACAAAGATACATAAAATCCAACATCACCAACACAGGGATAGGATTTAAATATAGTCATTATGGCTAAATAAGAAAATGCCAATAGAACTGGCTCACGACGTAATCTTAAAGCTAATGGTACTATGTACAATAAACTAACATTAATTTGGAATGAAGCTATGAATAGTGATCTAAAATGTTCAAACATTTCTGTAAGGAAGTACCAATAAAGTCCAATATTTGGACGTAAATCTGGAACTAATAAAATAAATCCAAAAATATTCCAAAGGAAAGACCAACTGCCCATGATGTAATAACAAATACCGAGTAATAACGTGAACATGGATACAAACGTAATTATTAAAATGAAAATGGTAGATTTGATATTTTTCTTTGATTTATCCTTACATATATAAATACCAATTGGTACTAACAGTGATATAGGATAAAGATTCTGCAATGTTAATAAAGCTATAGAAATACAACTCCAGAAAATAGAATGTCGTACCATAGCCACTAATGCTATCGAATTTAACAGATTACTAAATACTGTAGTCGTGAATCCCACGCAATTTAATATTATATACGGGTTAAACAAATAGGCCATTAAGACATACAATGCGACATCATTTTCCACATTAGAAGTATCATTATCTTTTTCTTGTGATACCTCTTCCGTCTTATCTTCATTTTTCTTTAAACGCTGCAATAAAAGTAAATGATATAAATTGATTTCAATTCCAATTAATAAAACTATTTAAAAATATAGAATATCTTAAATTTGATATATACACTTACCTGATTATTAGCATAACTATTACCTACATAAGCAAGGCACAGAGCTGTCATTAGATCAGTGACTACAAACAGGAGACATAATATATACCATGGGAAATGTCGTTGTATAATATCAAACACGTAAAGACAAATTGGAGTTTCATGGAATAAGTCACCGGAATAAGGATCTATACCATTATTGTGTAGGTAAACTCCTTCAGTAACTACAAAAAATTTTTTATTAGTGTTAAAAATTAAAAAACTTAAAAAAGAAAAGGGATTTTTGCAACTGTAAAATAATATTGTTTGCAAATATTAATAAATCTATAAAAAACAATCTTTATAAATAAAAAAAAGAATACAGAATATGAGTTTAAATGAACCTCTTTTCCAAGAATTTAAAGCTGTTGACACTTCGACACGTTCGCTAATAACTTTTTGATATCCAGAATTCATCAATAAAAATCTGACGGCAACCGCCAAAATAAAATTGGGTAACCATTTTGTCAACATTTTTTATAATTTATAGTTAATCATATCAGGGTTTTATACATCCTAACCTCCTTTGATGCTTAAGTGCGGCAGTTTAAATGGTCAAGTAAACAGTACTTTATGTGAAAAGAGACATTTACGTCTAACCTGGCTCTACGATTGTTCGATTGTGCGCATGCGCACGAAATAGTGCGCAAAATTTAAAAATGTGTAGATTCATTTCCAAACTTCAAATTTTCTTAATTAAACAATATTATTGTCGATAAATATATACTTACTTTTAAATGTTTATTGTGCCTATTCGAAATGCATTTGAACGTTACGAATATAATTTGAGGTTAGTTTATACATACATGTATAATAATGTTTAAGTTAAATACATTCTTAGAATAAAGAATTTATTATTAACATAACTGTCAATTAAGAAATGTACACGTTGTTGATAAATGATTATTCATGTAATTGTCGTAGTCCTTATTTTGAATTGTATAATGTAATAATAAGTAGGAGCTATTTATCTTTGGTATTAAATGTACATACACAAGCAAGACAATTCTGCTAAACGCTTGTTGCAATGACGACAATCATTATAATATTGTACAAATACAATGACGTGCTAAAAAGAGAATTATGAAATTATTGTTTATACTGAGATGTATAATAATTACTTTTGACGATCATGAATCATCGATATTTAAAGATTTAGAGCTAAATTCGAATTATTTGAATTTTGTAAGAATTCAATAATTTTATTTTTTATTCTTTTTTCTTTCTTTCTTTTTTTAATAAATTCCAATTAAAATAGATGGTCTTCCGACATACATACAACCAGTTATACTAAATACACGTGACGTAAATAATTAATTGATAATTTTTAATTAAAAATACTATTCGCTTTTTTTACACGCCCTTTGGCGTGGGACATCGATAATTAACTTAATTTAATATGAAGTTAAGTTTAAACATTAAATTAATCCTCTTAAACGGTTACATAAAATGTATATTATAATTATTTACATTATTCAAATTTTCGCATTTTAACAACTTAATAAATATAACGCATGAAAATATTGTATTTAAATATATATATTTCAAAACCTGCTTTTCATCATTAAATCAAATAAATTCGAGCAAGTGTGATTGTCTTTCGTAAAAATAGCTGCATACAAAATGAATTCGTTTGAATAAAACCAAGCGTAAGCGATGATTATTTAATTTATTTTAATTATTATATATATATTTATAATTATAATGAAAAATTTATATACGTATTTATATATTTATATCAAAATTAAGCTGCATCTGCTGCAAGGATGTGTGAAAATTGTGATTTCGTAGGAACAGTATTTTGTTCGCGTTAACTAATAAATTAAGTAATATGGCGATTAATATTTATAATAATAATAGCCGAAATTTATTCAAACAAAAAAGAAAAGAAAAAGAAATATTTTATACAAAAGATCAGACTTAAATCGTTTCTTGTCTAAAGTTAAATGTATAAATAAATATATTTATAATAATGTCCATTTAATAAAAGTCTTAGCTAGCAAGATGGATATTGCAATTAATCGCATATATGAAATGATAATAAACACATTGCCCGATGTGATGTGATAATTGTGTTTAAATCGCAGGTATACGGATGTGATTGTAACTTAAAAGTTACAACACGCATCAAGCACAAAGGTACATGGTACAAAATGTTGCTTATGTTTATGTTCATCTTATCAACATATGTACATGAATCAGTCGAATAAATATATCTTTCGTCGATACAATTATAAATCACGTTACACGTAATATTATTATTATTATTTTTATTATTATTATTAAACCGAAAATATGATATTGATATTTTCGCTTTGACCCCTTTTTTTGTATTTTATTTTTTTTTCTCTTTTGGCGACAAGGACAACAATACAAGCATGAAAAGATGAATAAACGAGTTACCTAATCGTAAAATATAATTTAAATCCTAGGCATGACCAATCGATTAATAAAAAAGCGACAACAACGTTTCGTAATCAGTCCTAAAATTATTATTTTTTTTTTTAAATGATCAAAAAGATCATGTATGCACAAATACGCATTATAAATAAAATATATATCTAAATAGAAGCTTAAATTTAATTCAGTTAAATTCTCTCGATACATTTTTTTTGTTTTACAATTCATTCATATAATTATCAAGACTTCGGTTCTTTTTTCTTTGGAAAAAATGAATAAAAAAAAAACCTGGAAGAAACATAAACGTTGTTTTGTTCAAGTAGATCTGTTAAACATATAAGTTTTTTTATAATATTAGTTCTAAAAATATTACCGATTCTAGTATATGTATTGTACAAGTTCATTCGACACACATTTAATATATTATTACCATAGAAAATGATAGAATTTTGTCAATTATTTCTATTTAACTGTTGCATAATGATCTAGGACAGAATAGTGTTTTTCTTTTAATCATAGTCCCTAGCGTTTTATCGACATCAAAAAAAAAAACCTAATCAATCAAGCAATTGTATGATAATACACAACCTCGATTTGTCGAACGTGTTTTACACTTACTACTTTCTAAACTGTTGTAATTTGCAGTAAAATTTACGTCTTCCTGTTTAATTTATTATTTCACATTGATTATCGATGAATCTCATTTGTTTTTTTTTTTTTTTTTTTTTAAATAATATTCTTTGTTATACATTGTTTTTACATTTGTATAATTTACAATCAAATTAACGTCCTCATGTTTTCGTGAATTATTTCAAATTGATCATCGATATATCATTTTTATTTTGTTTAGGGACTAACATTTTTTTCTTAATACACATATATCACAGAATTGAATAATTTCACGTTTTATAATAATTCGAATCATTTCGAATATATTTTATCGTTATATTGTTGTTGTGTGTGTGTTTTGTTTAAATGCAGGATTTTTGTAGAAGCGTCATCAACGCATTCCAGGAACGCAGAAAATATAGCTTACGTTATATCAACTTCCAAGAAACCAATTGTTTCCGTAATTCCTTTTTTTTAATAATTAATTAATTAATTAATTAACGATTAATGAATCGTCTGCATTCTCACAAAAGAGTCATTGATATTGTTACTGCCTTAGAATAATTACTGACAATTATATATACACTCGAACTTTATGGCATAATAACTTCTACAAAAAATATTAGAATTTTTACGTAATCCTATTATTTACAACTTTTAATATATATTTATATTTATATATCATATTTTTGTTTATTTATCTTCACTTCGGAAGACGCGCTCAAGTCGAGCGCCATTCTCATGTTAAAATATACTTAACGCTTTTGTTCGTCGAGCATGTTATATCGTAAAGCCTCGGAACAAAATCATTTCTTGTACTTTTTTGCAATGTGCATTTTTATATACAAGGTGTCCCAAAAGAAGTCATGTATCATCGACCAAAAAAAAAAAGCAACAAATAAGGGTGGGAGTGCAGTTTAGATCATTTCTAAAAAGTCATCCCATAGATTTCTCAAACGTTTTCAAGTTACATGTGTTTGTACAAAATAATTTATATGTTTTAACGCGAATAAAACAAAATCATTTTTTTCGACGATACAGATTATTGAATCTTTTTTAATTAGGATCTATAACTTTTGGGATATCCCGTATATGTACGTACGTATAGATAGATCAGAAAAGATACAATCTTTCATAGTTATATCGCACGTGTATCGCTAGATCGTGTCAATGTTAATCGTTTGTTGATGGACTAGAATTTAACGTAACGAAGACAAAAATTAATATTTTCGTCGTATAATCACAACGATATCGTTGAACATAATAATAGTATATTATAATAAAAGAAATTATTTTTTTGCGGTGGTACCATCGGACACTTTGCCAAGAGCTTTTTTATTAGCATTTGCCAAAGCTCTAGTTGAATTAACATGGGAATTTTTATTAGCCTCAAATCTTTGTTGCAACGATGCTACGTTCGATTTGCTATTGGCAGCTCTTTGAACGGGATTGATCGTAGAATCCGTTGTTGTTTTCGTATCACTCGTTTTCAATGGATTTTTATTCGAAGTTGGTGATATTTTATTATTTAAAGTATTATCCCTAGTCGTGGATGAAGAAAAAGATTTGATAATGTTAACGTTACCCGACGGAGATTTTTTTTTCTCCGTTAAGCTGGCAGCCTTCGATACGATACTCAATGGTTTCATCGGCATTGCTGGCGCTTTGGTAGCCCTCGACAACGTCGATGATTTTTGTGTTTGCGTTTTAGGTACCACACTTAATTTATGGTTATTACCTAATACGTCCGGTGATTTCGTACTATTTTGATTCGAATTCGAACAACTCGAGACTAAATCAGGACTATTTAATTTACTGGAGTCATCCTTATTGTTAGTACTAAAAGGCACACTTTTTACGGATGATCCATTAACACTCGTATTATTTGAATCTAATTTATCTATGCTATTATTCTGTTTATTAATATTGCCATTAGATTTGTTTTGAATTGGCACCTGTCTCGCCTTAGTATTTTTATCTAAAGTATTTTTGATAGTAGTAGTTGTAGTATTGTTACCACCGTCGGGTGATTGTACAGGTGATTTCGCACTTATTTCAGAATTTTGTTTAGTTGTTGTTCTCATTGACGTGTAAGCTTTATTAGTAAGACTCGGTGGTGTCTTAGTTCTACTTAATTGTAATGGCTTACTGATTGCACTTTTTCCATCCTCTTTTTTATCATTTAGTCTGTTGTTTGCCGATAAGATCAAACTAGACCGATCCGTGTTAATATTAACAAATGGTTTTTGAATCGTCCCTAAACCAAGTTCCTTCGACATTTCTTCATTGACGTTACTATTACGAGAATTTCCTGATAACAAAGGTGAAATTTCGCAAGTGTTTTTATCTTCCGAAGTATCTTTCGTTAAACGTTCCTTAACTGATTGTGGTACATTTAATGCACAAGGATTAAGATAACCAGAACTAGTCGTCGAACTTGATGAATTAAATTTGCAACCGGATGCGGAATTGGAATAAACACTACCCGGTGATTTGTAGTGATTTGAATTCATGTAACCACCGAGGGAACTATTGGATCCTAAATTTTCGCTGGCCTTAGCAATTTCATCCTTTTCCTTTTTCTTTCTTGCCAACGTTGAAGTCGAATATATAGAATCGAAATTTCTATTAGAGATTTCTGATACGATTTCTGATAAAAGGCCCATCGATTCCAAACCACTGCCTCCGCCACCACCACCGCCGTTGCCACCGCCGCCGCCAGTACCGCTGCCGCTGGACAAATTTGGTGTAGCTTGAACACGTTTTGGTGATTTATATTCGTTGTCGGCATCCTTCTGCTGTACTTCGACGTTCTTCTTGGTCTTCTCTGGGATTGATTCTTCGATAACCGCATAAATATTATCGTTCGATGGCGATTCCTCCATTATCTTGGTTAAAGATGGTGCAGAAACTAAATTCATGCAATCGTCATACACATCCTCCAGTTGTTTGGCTGGTTGAACTTGTTGTTGAGTTTTAACTGGTGGATTTTGATAACCAGGTAAGCCAGGTATTTTAATATCATTACTCGTCTCTTTTTCAGATGTAACAACGGCGGTAGGTGGCCCAGGAGGTGGTGAGGTTGGTCTGATACTCGCTGGAATGCTGGTTGGTCTTTTAACAGTTGGTGCAGCTTGACGCATAGAACCAAAAGTATGTATCGCTGGTCTGGACGTTACTTTGGTGTCTCTCATCGATTGAGCTCGCATGACAACGTTCTTTTTCTCAGTTTCGAGGTTACTTAGTTCATTGACCGAGGCAACTGGAATCACCGGTGTTGGGATTTCAATCTCCTTTTGTGGTATAGGATTTGATATTTCCAAGTTTCTCAATATCTCTTTATCTATCATCTTATTAGCCTTGAGATGTTGATTCCTTGTCAAAGAATTCATATTCTTTTCGTCCTTTTGAGAAGATTGAGAGTTTGATCTCGTAACACTTGAATTCGATCGTAACATAGATGCTAATCTATTAAGCGCACCACCTTTTTCTTGTTTTTTCTGTTCAGCTTCAACAACCAAATTTGTCAAGGGAGTACTATTGGGTCTTTGAGGTTTAGGTATAGCAAATAGAACAGGTGGCGGGGGAGCAGTTCTCGTTGGTATATCAGGAGCTGGTCTAGTTGGTACTTTAGATGGTACCAATTCTACGGACGTACAAGTTGTTGCTGCTAAAACAGGACTACTTATTAATGGACGTGCCGTAGAACCTGGATTCATAGGTGGTAATTTTGGAGCTGCTGCAGTAGTATTATTATCTTCAAATGTTTGAGATGATTCAGCCAATGATTGATTTCGTATAGTATTTGTTTTTTGATTAGCCTTTAGATTCGTCTTTATTGCTACGGTAGGAACGCTAGGCAGTGATGGTGCTGATATCGTTGGTTCAGATAATTTTGAATGATTCTGAATAGGCGTTATCGTGAACCCTTTAAATTGGCCAAAGAAGTTGTTGTTGTAACGCGCATCGACCTCTGTTTTAGGCAGAAGACTAGCGCAGGCTGGATCCTGAGTTAGACTGCAGTCAATCGTTTCGATGTTACGTGGCATAGGGCTAGAACGGTCGATCGTTTTTATCGACATTCCATTGTGGCACCGATTGTTCCTGAAATTTGTAAGCAAATTTTTAAGCGTTTAGGAATATTGGGATAACAAGCGTAATAACCAGTGTATTCGTTTTTTTTTCTAATTTAATTTTTCTTTTTCATTAGATCGTCCCTTTTGTTCGATTTAGAAATAAGTAGATCTTTTATTTTTTTTTTTTAAATCTTTTTTTTAATAAGGATAATTATTTAATATTTATTTATTTATTTTAAAATTAATATTGCACACAAATCATTTAAGATAAACTAGCCAAGTGAAAAACTTATAACAAAAACTGTTTTATTCAGTATATAACGTGTATTGTGTATATTGTAATATATATATATATAATATGTATATATAAACGGACGTCACGGACGAACACTATGCCATAAGAAAAAGCATGCATACCAGAATAAACAAAAAAATAACAGTGTGCACAAGACGTCAAGAAGCAGTTCGTTCCTCGTAACAGAGAATTTGTTCGCATCGATTTTAAGAATTTTGGTATTTTCTTTTTAATCGCATGCGACGACTATACAAAATTATAATGCAGGAAAATGTTAGTAAAAGATTAGAGTGTTAGTAGCAAGCGGTGGAAGAAGGAAACCATTTTGTTTTTTCATTTGTTTTTCTAAATATTGTAGTCGTACAAATACGTCATATGGAAAGTACGAAAATTTTATTAATTTTGTTGATCGTACATTCAACTAATTTCCATTAAATAACATTTTATCGATTAACGAAAGAGTGTTTAAGGCACGAGTATGATAAGTTACATATCTCGACGATAATTAATTGATCATCGATTGATTTAGATTCTCTCCCTCTTTGTCTTTTCTTCATTTGATCGATTATTTTAAAATAAACTTTTTTTTTTTTTTAGCTAAATGTTATAAGCTAGTCCTATGAAATATTATTTCATTATTTATTTTCTAAGGGAGATTAATAAAAACGTGATTTCATTTTGTCGCTAATATTTCAAAGGACTTTTATTTTAATTATTTGGCTTGATCAACAAGAAATGTTGGAATTTTCAATATAAAATATATACTAGTATGTGGTTTGTTTTCATATAAAGTATTAAAATATTTTGAAAAATAAAAGTTTCATTCATGCAAAGGCCGACCGATCCATATACCATGCGATGATACTCATGTACAAGTGAATTTATATGGAATTTAGATGGAATTTATATGGAACAATATTCCCACTAAACGATGGCATAACAAGAGGATTAAATTTTATTAGATTTAGATATAAATCAATTTTTAAAGACAAATTTAGTATTTATATTCGAGGCATCGAATCAATTTCTACATTTAATATAATAGTCAAAATGTTTTCACTCTTAAAAATAATAATAAGATATTAGATTTAATTATATTGAAATATATTATGTTTTTATTGAAATATAAACTTAATGAGAAGTATCTAGATTCGTACTAAAATTTTTTGAATAAAATAAAAATAGTATTATTTATTGCAATATAAATGACTGAAAATTCCGACAAAATTTATTGACCAAGTCAATACGTGTGAAGGCTTTTAAACGCTATTTATCTTAAGGCTATTATTGATCTATCGTGATATGTTAAATCATCGTAATATGCAAAGCTACTGAGAGACAGAGAGAGATTCAGACATGCTCATGCGATCACATATATATTCACGCATGCTTCCTACGTAATAATCTCGCCAAATTTTTAATAATAACGCCACAAAATACTATACACAAAAAAATTACGTTTAATCGATAGAGCGTAAAATTAAATTGAAAGTAATTCCATACTCTCCCCCGCCCCTCTAAAAAAATAGATTAAAAATTAACTTTATTGATCACAATGCGTCGTTATTAACAAATATAATTTTATAATTACGCAACTACTAAAAAAAAAAAATGAAGTTGATCCTATTACAGGGAAAAAAAAAAAAGAGATTACAATAAATTTGCTTTCGTTTTCACGAGAAAGAAAATACATTATACTTAAACTTCTCACAATGATTTTAGGAACAACAAACTTTTTTTCAAATAAATGAAAAAAATATTTGTCACTGTGTAATACTGTTATTTATATATTAATTAATAGCAAAATAAACGATATTAATCTCATTAATTTTTCCATTGAAATTTCATTAAACTAATAAAATAAATCAAATTAATACAAGAAAAAAATACGCATCGCATTAAAACAACAATATTTCTGATTTAATTAAAAATAAACTTTAATAAATTCGATGTCAAAAAATATGACGATAATAATGAAAACTATATGTCAGCCACTAATGTTCGATTATATTTGCTAAAATACTGTAATCAAATAAATCATTCGATGTCAAATATTTAAATTTATCTTAGTTTGTGAATATAATTCGTATAAGTACGTTTTTATATATTATAGTATTATATTATAACTATTGAAATATTATGATCATACGCACAATGAACTCAAATGAAATTAATTTAATTTACATGGTGTTCTGTAACTACTGATGGTACAAGCGATTAGGGAATGATTTTACATGAAAAATTTCGTCGTCTATGTAGAATAAAATCAATTCATATAAGATTTTGTTTTGAAGAAAAATAAGTTCGAAAATTTGTCAAGTACACGTGCATTTAATTTTATTTCAGTTCGACTGATTTCATTTTCTTACTTTTGAATATTTTGGAAAGCATTTTAAACATGTTTTTAATTTTTAGAGTTACAAGTTCAATCAAATGCACAAGTATTAGATAAATTTGTAAACTTCTTTTTTTCTAAATCAAAGTCTTATATAAAAGAAAATTGATTTTATATTTTCAGCTTAGTTTTTCATGTAGAATCATTCTCTGCTCGTTTGTACCGTCAGTTACAAAATATATACACTCAGTATATATTTTGGCATCATATATTATATATATTGTATAAATTAAGAAATTCTATATTCACCATCACCATGTCTTGTAATGCGAAGATCACAGCCCGAGATTAGAATTGTCTGTGACATTTGCACTAAAGCAAAACTTGTTTTCCAAAGGACACAAAAAAAAAAAAAGAAACAAAAACGAAAAAGTACAAAAAACAAGCAAATATCAAATGCTATCTTTTGCACACAAAAACAAAATCTTGTCTTACAGCCATTTCAAACGATCAATATTTTAAATATTATTATTACATGTATATATGTATAATATTTAATATTAAGAAAAATTAAGCCGAGTATTAATAATTTCTATGCTATATATAACCCAAACATATTTTGCTGACATTGTTCAAAATCAGATCACGTATACATATATGCATTAGAAATATTTATATACGTAAGATAAATGTGTAAAACGGACGTTTAGACCTTTGGTTTAAGACTTTGGGCTGGTGCTGGAGGAGGTGGCGGTTTTTTATTATAAAAAGGAGCTGGCGATTTGTTCAAAGCATCTTTCCTCTCAGGCAACATAATACCACTCGAATTTGGCGTAACATTGACATCGTTATAGGCCGTGGTTGCGCTCGAATTATCTTTCAAATTGTCTAATTTCAAATCCGTTTGAACAGTCAAATTTTTAATATTTTTCGATTGTCTCTTTTGTAATTGTTGAATACGATCGGCAATTTTTGCACCCATTTGATTCGAACGTACCGGAGTATTATTTTTCTTTTCCTGAGATTGAGTTCTCAAATTGATCGTAATCAACGGTTTATCAACCATACAATCACTTTTTCTATTAACAATTTCAACTTTGCAAGGTGCTATCGAGGTTTTAACAAAATCAATTTTATCGCTAGAATTAATGGCATCCGGATTTGTAGTCGATATCAAATCTTTTTTCGTTATTTGAAGTTTCTCCTTAGAGGGAAAATTTGTGTTGCTAATAATGAAAATTCTTTTCGAATCTTCCGAATCACGTTGCCTGGTCGTAAAGAAACTGATAGTCTTTTCGTAGATCTCCTTACCAGCGGTGCAATTTAATTGTGGCACTCTAAGTTCGCGTGATGCAAAAGCATGCGGCTTACGTTTCGGTTTTAAACGGTCGACACTAAATACGTACGTAGATAATGCACCCTTTTTCCAATGTTGACCGCAGTTTTTCAGGTACCAATATCCTATCGATATGAGAGCACACATAGGTACCACGCCCAAAAAGATGATGTAAATGGCTATAATGAAATCATTTCTCGCTAAAATGGATAAATAAGAAATACAATTATATATATATCCTGTTAAGTGATAATAAACCAATAGATATTGGTTATGTATTAATTTACTACCATTAGGATCTTCTGCTGGTCCACTATCTTCAGAACCACCTACGCCTGGTTGAGTGCAATCAGGTGGTCTAAATCCACGATTACAGTGGCAATGACCTAGACTATTACACACTCCATTACCGCTACAATTATTAGGACACGCTTTACCACCAGACACGGACGCTCTTAGGTCAGCGATTGGCATACATTTTTGATTAACACACATCTGGAATAAATAGAAAAGTAATATCAATCAAAATAAAACTATTCAAGCTATGTTAATAACGTATAGATCATAGATAAGATTAATATAGGGGAATGTCTTACTTTATCAGGTGCACATTTAGCCCCATCGGGTGCTAAACCTGGATCAACTTGATTTAATCCTAAGTCAACGATTGCTGAACGACAAGGTATTATCTTTCCACCATTATTAATAAAAGAATGACTTAGTATCGCTACTGATTCCATACCAAATTCCAATCTTTCATTCAAATGTTTACAGTGTAACATTCCGCATAATATATCACTATAATATCAGAGATTAGATTTAACTGACGAAAATACAATCAATAATTGTAGTAAAAGTAAACTTACTGATCGTTGCATTTAACGTAACTAGATTCTATCCTGTTATAACCACAGTTACCAAGTTTGGAACCTTTGTTATTCATATCGTAGCATTGAGCATCAGATGAAGCACCTGTAGGACCCCAAAGTAATTTACATTGATCATTGTGAGTTCTACAAGAACCTTGATAACAGAATGCCTTTCCCATGCTACAAGATTCGCCATCCATCTTGAAGACATCCACAGGACAATATTCGCTCTGACCAGTACAATACTCGGGTAAATCGCATTCATGTTCGGCGCTTCGACATTCTGTGCCAGCCGATTTAGGTCGACATGTTTTTAGGTCACAACATTCTCCAGTAGCACAACTGGCATTTGTATAGAGCATGCAAGTAGTTGCGTTGCAGCAAGGATTGTCACATTTCTCTTCGAGACCGCAGTCGCATTGTTCACCGGGTTCAACAAATCCATTACCACATATAGGACTGTCAAAAAGCTTTTGAGGTTTATTTCTTAAGCAATAATCCATACCATGTTCAAAAGCTAATGCTAAATGTTCCAAGGAACAAGTTGACCAATGTGACGGACCAAAAGATCCACTCGATGGTGCCATGATACATCTTTAATAAACAAAATACGACTGCATGTATTTAAATCATTCGATTAAATTACGCTATCTGTAAGCTAAAGATTTATATAAACTAACGGGTGGGCAATCATTGAATATATTTTTAAAAATATATGAAAAATATTTAACGCGACTTTTATTATCGAAAATATTGCCCACCCTTTTGGTATCAACTTACAAGGTCACTTACTTGTCTTCTGGGCATTCGCAATCAGCCGTATCATGTTCCATACCAAAGTTATGGCCCATTTCATGGGCTACAGTGGCGGCTACCAGGCCTACTATATTCGAGTGATCGAAAGAGACACCACCAGAAAATTCATAAGTACATATCGGTCCTTTCAATGCCTTTCCAACAACTCCACCTTCGAATCGTATTTTCCTGCGATCGTAAAATACAATTCATCAAAATTGTTACGAATTAATTAATAAATGAATTAAGTACGTATCTTCCATGAAATGAATTCACAATAACATTCGACGAAAATATTCTCAATGTACATGCATTAATTGTTAATTAATAAAAAATATGACTTTATTTATATTGTTTTTACAAACAATTAATTTTCCGAACTATTTTTACGAACGTCATATAAAATTATGATATATCATTTTCTATACTCACGTCAATAACTGAGCATTGTCATTTGGAATATCATGTACTAATTTTTCTCTACGATATCGTAAGAAATTCGAAAGCGTGTTGTCACCGTTTGGAGAGAGAGCTATTTCATCGGTTTCAGTCCACACTTGAACGCCCACCAATGCGACGAATATATTAAGTGGCATAAAAAGCTACAAAAATAAAAAAACTCCAATCGTTTTATTCGGATTACAATCATAATAAAAATCGCTATAAAAATCATGACAATCATGATTTTTACCTTGACTTTTAACACATTGCTAATTTATTTTTCACGTTTATTTTTATAGATTTTTTTTTTTTTTTTAATTCAAATAAACAAGGATAAATATTATTGTGGTTAACTTTTTGTAAACTAAATGATCAATACATGTAAATATTTTTATTCGGTATAAATATTATAATTTTTAAATATTTTAAAAAACTTTCCCTGCTAAGCTGTATTTCTTTGACAACAAGTATCATTTCCATGCCACTTATACCTAAAACGCGCGTTACCTGCTATAGACTTTAATAAATTTTACAACATTTGCCTATTTTGTTTTCTTTTTATATTAAAAATTTATATCATGTTATCTCCCGTTTTTGTTGGATCACTTACAAAATAATCAAATACAAAGATGTCTGTTTGATATATCAAAAATGGTACACGTAACAGGGAACGTATTAAATAACAAATATTTTAAACAAATTACCAATATTTATGATACGGGGCTGGATTGCATCACAATTATTGATATTTTTATTATAAATACTAATTATATATTTATTTTAATCATCGATTAAAAATATTTTATTGAATATATCGGTATCATTGAATATGATGCATCGATGAATATTAAATTTAAACAAAATATTGCAAACCACACATTTCTCTAGTTGTTTAAAAAATAATTAATATTTTTTATTGATATTTAAATCTATATCGTGATTCAATTGCAATGTGTTTAAATATAATCTATATTAAATATAAATATATACTAACAGCATTAACGATATTGGCGATATTTTTGCAGTGATGATAAACCCTGTTTAAATTCTCATTAAGTGCTATATATCCTTTCTTATCGATTACTAAAACCAGCTCGATGTAACGTGATTGTCTATTAGCATTGTAAGGACCCCTTATCGATTCGGCTGCTCTTTTATGCTGCAAATGTGAAAATAATCAATGATCATTAAGGCATTCCAATTTTAAAACAAATCCTAGAAATAATCTGACAAATCCTTCGATTATTTAAATATTAAAATATATTAGAGAAAAGGATGTATATTCACGCGGTCATTTTTTTTAATAATTTGATTTCCTCGTGATATTCGTAATATAAAAATAAATTCTGACGAAGTTATAGTATTATCATTAAATAAAAAATAAAAAAAAGAATGCTTAATATTGAAATACAATTTTTAAAATCAGACGTGAATTTAGATAATTAAATTATGAATCAGAGATTTTATAACAAGAGATATAAAACTGGAGGAGTTTCTTAAACAATTGTCATTACTTACCCTTGACAACCTTTTAGCTTCACTACGGTGACTGTCAAGAACGTTGTGCGGTGTTCCTTCGTAACCTGCAACGAAATGGGGTTGAAATAAAAGATAAAAATGAAAAGAAAAAGAATAAGGGTAAATAAAAAGTTCCTTTTTCAAGGATACGATCCTCGAGTAAATTTTTCCTAGGTAGTTTAAGGACAAAGAGTTAGAGCTAAACGATCAGGACAAAATCTTGCTCCCACATTCGTTAAAACGGTTAAGGAGAAACCAGTATTTCTTGTCGTTTCCAAGCACGCTTCTTCTGTCCACAAAAGGAGCGTGCATCTTGTGGATCTTGCAAGGACACCGTTTCTAGAGGAATATGGTGCTCCTAAGGGAGTCATGTAATTCTTCTTCTTAAGTTGAAAGAAGTTCAAACGATCGATTATTATTCTACCTTGACAATAAAACTGTTCAAGGATTCAATGATATATAAATAGAAATTATTATGTAAGAATCATACGTTTTTCCATCTTTGGTAATTCATCTGTCCTTTTTTCATTCTTTTTATGCCCCCTTTTTTTCACACATAAATGGAAATTATTATTATTATTATTATTTTTATTATTAGAGTTAATATGTTTTTATTTATGTTATTTTTGTTTTCTTTTTCAATTTTTTTTTCTTACTATTATTTCTGCTCGTGTATCTTTCTCTTACGTAGAAGTAGAAATTATTAATAAGAGTTATTATGTTTTTTTAATAATTTATCTTTAGTTCGTTCGTTTAATATATTTCAAAGTTTGCTTGTTAAGCGTATGTATAATTTGTTCATTTATATTATACGCATGACACATAAAGCAAAGGTTACTATTTATTTTACTATTTTATGTAGTTTTGATAATATTATATTAGCTTGGTAGAAATACTCTTTGTCGTTTAAATTTTCCTTCAGAGACGAATAATAATTTTGAACAAATTGAAACTAAAACATTAAAATAATTTCAAAATTAAATGAGTCGAAGATTATTCTGTTCAGTTCTGTTTCTTTAAATAAAAAAAATATTATTAATCATATTTTTCTTCTTTTTGTCCGTCATACTCTATTGTTTTTTCTTTTTACCTTTCTTTCTCTGATTTTCTATACTCAGCTTGTCTGTCTACATTTTAATCTGTACTTTTAATTTTATAAACTTCCCCCTTTTCTCTTTTTATTTATTCGTCTATCTACAAAAATACGAGTAATCAACTATTAATTATTCCACATTTTATTTCATTTATTTGTTCATCGATTTTTTAATGATTTATTTTCTATTTTTTTTTTTATTTATCTCACAATTTTCTTTTCCATTGTCAGCCACCTTCCCTCCATTTTTTTTTAACTAATCTACCTTTATTTGTCCGTCTGTATTTTTTATTTTGTTTTTATTTTTTTCTCTCAGTTTGCCAATCAATCAATCAATCAATCAATCAATCAATCAATCAATCAATCAAATAGTTTTCGTTCTTTTAACCTGTCTCTCTCTCTCTCTCTCTCTCTCTCTCTCTCTCTTTCTTTCTGTCTGTCCGTCTATATATATATATTATTTTTTTTTTTATTTTTTTATTTTTCTCTTTAAAGTTATGCCGTTTAATTAGCTTCGGGCAACGACGAATGAAAACTTTCTAACGGAAATGCAAGTCTGGCTTTACGAGGCAATGCGTTATCGTTAGAGTTAGTAGGTCGATTATTATTATTTGATATGATACTTTTAATATCAAATGCAGTTTCGTTCTTAGATAGTGTAGTACGTTAATTAAACATAATTAATTATTCTATCTAGAATAAGTTACAATTAATTACTACAAATTTTATTAAAATGAATCAACAACATCATTGAGAACGAAATGAACACAAATATAGGACAAGTTTGATAAATATTAATTAGTTTGATAAAATATTAATAAACATTAAAAAAAAAAAAAAAAAAATTTTTTATGAATATTTTTAAGCGAACAAAAACTAACCACAAGTATTACAGGTTGAAGTGATAAAGAATTACATTTCTAACCGTTTTCAATCATTATCACAAAGAAACTAGGACTACATAGGATAGTAGAATGTGCAATTTACCACAAGTCTTATTTGCGACGAGGTCATCCTGTTTATAGAGATAGTGTTTAGAGTCCAAGGAATCTTTTTCTGGTTGAACATGATGAAGATTTTCACCGTCAAAGATGACACCATGTAAGCCATTACAAGTGGACAAGGCTACCCATGATCCAGGAACATCACGTACGCTACCTTGATAGTGACAGAGTTCCTGAAAATATTAGTTTTTATTTATTTAAACAATTTTAAATCAAAATTTATATAAATTCATTTAAAATCAATTATCAAAACAAATATTAACGAATAACTAATTTTAATACGTTGGTACAATATACTCATTTCTTGTGAGTGTATAATATGTTTGTGTGTGTCTTTCGAGAAAAGACAAATATTTTAAACAAGAATTAAAATTGTAAGTTTACAAACTAAAAGTGTGATTATTTCTCAAATAGGATTAAATTTAAATTCCACGATATTTGTTTGAAATTGTAACAACAGCCATTTCTCTATCGTTTTGTTCAACTTTCTCGATGAATATATCATATTTCAATGGTTATTATTATATAATTGATTTTCTAGTAACGTAATATTACACCTGTAAAAAGTTTCTACTCTTCTTTTTTCTTGTTATTCGTCATAATAATCGAATGTTACAAAATTCTACTTATTGTATTATATTACTATCATTTTTTCATTTAAAATTTATTATATTATATTATATATACATATATATATATATATATATATATATATATATATATATATATATATATATATAT